ACACATACATTTCGACGTCGGTGCGTTTAGTGGTAGAGAAGGTTAGCCAACCATGCCTTATGTGGTTCGGGGTTCGATGCCCGGTCGACGCACTGCTTTACCTCGCTAAACCGGTAAAGAAGAAAAGGGTGGACGTGAGGCTAGCAGTCCCACCTCATTAAAATAGATACCACTGCTACTGAAACTTCAAAGCTGTAGCTTGAAGCCCTATGTTCCAGTCGGAACTTAAAGGAATAAATATGTACATACATTTCAAACAATCTAATCATACACATACACACATATGTGGAAGCAGTGTATATGATGGAATATATGAAAGGCAAATTATGAAGGAGTAGTAATCTCAACCTTCACATTATTATTACTATTATTATTATTGTTCCCTTGAGTTCCTAGTGGAACATGGGGCTTCAACTGCACGTCTCCACTTGCTTCTGTCTTCTGCTGTACTTTTCACTTGCATCCATGTTAGTCCATACTGTTTCAGCTCCTCTCCACACGATCTCCTCCATGTCACCCTTAGACGTCCCACTCGCCGCTTCCCTTTCGGGTTCCACTCGAGCTATGGCCTGACGCGCGATGTCACCCAACGGCCTCCTCACCGAGTGTCCAATCAATCTCCAATTTCTCCTGCATATTTGTCGGGCGATTGGTTCTTGTTTTGTTTGTTCCCATAGCTTCTTGTTGGTGATTCTTTCCGGCCATCTGATCTTCAGTATAGAGCGAAGAAAGCTGTTGATAAAGGTCTGCAACAGGCTGTTGGAAATATTCTTTGTGACCCGCCAAGTTTCTGATCCATCCGTATAGAAGAACTGACTGACTTGACGTTTGTATTGAAGATACGAATTTTGTTGTTGATGCAGGCTGAGTGACGAAGATTTCCAGATTGGATTCAGGTTGATGAATGTGTTTCTCGCCTTCCCGATTCTCGATTTGACATCCTCGTCCATTCCTCCTGTAGTTGAGACAATGCTCCCTAGATCAGTGAAGTGAATGAAGTAACCTCTTTCGAATCCCTCCCGTTGATGGTGATTGGCGGTGGATGTTGCTGCTGTTGTTGTTGTTGGTTGGTTATTTTCTAGTCTTCACATTAGGGTGGAATAACATATATATATAAATATCTTGGAGCGACAACAGTCAAACTCTAAAAACCTGATGAACGCAGTTGGCAGACTACCAGCCTCGTCCTTGCGTTAAACACATTTTGCATATAAATCATAAGATCGGTATCAATACTGCTTTCAAAATAGTTCATAAAAACCGTCAGGGGTGCATACTAAAATAATCTGACTGACTGACTGGTTTCAGCACCGAACTTTGCACCGATGTGCAGCAGTTCAAGTCGCCACACACCATGTAGCACACAAAGCAAGAGAAGAAAGTAAAAGAAATGCAAAATATAGACAGTAAACAGGGATATGAGACAAAAGGAATAATAATAATAATAACGAAGAATAATGTAGTTTCATTGGGTAGGATAAGTCACAAGGAGTGGATGCATCTGCGCCAGCCATTGAGAACGATTTTGAGCCGGCCATATCACCGTCCCGAGGACCAACCAATAATCTGAAGCGATAGCAATCTGTAGAACTAAGCCTCCCTCCTCCTGGTCCGTTCCCTTGTGTAGGAAAACAATTTATTGCCACGCTTTACCTACCCTGGTTATTCTTACCTGATCACTTTATCAAGAGTAGTATCTATTCGATTATTATTATTATTATTAGCGTCATCCCTACTCTTAAATTCCTTAATGTTTTGTTTATTTTAAGTGACCTTTGATATTTTTTTTCACATGAGTGTTGACGTGTGTGATGAAAATATTTTTCGAAATGTATTTCACAGACACTTCGCATTTTATGTTGCAAACGTGACTCTGATAGAATCTAGTCTATAGACGCATGATGAAATCAGTCCAGTCAAAGTATCTATTACAGTTTCCTACATGAGGTCAGTTGCGGCAGCACTAGGTGACTCGAGTTCAAATCTCAGAAGGGATATGAATTCCTTGAAGATTCCAGACACGCATTGCTGATGAGTGAGTGTCAACAAGCAAGAAACCTAAGTCAAGGGTTTCTTGTAGATTGCCTCCAACCGTCCAGCAACAATTTAGAGTGCGTCGTGATAGCGAGCCCCCTAGTAGGGTGGCTACATTTAATTGATAGAAGTGAGTTTGCATGAAACAAAGGACTAGACCCATGATTGGCTGGCTGGATTCAACATAGAACTTGGCACCGAAGTGCAGCAGTTCGACTTGCCACGTTCCAAAGAGCACACAAAGGTAGACAAGAAAATGAGTGAAGAGAATCAATAGAGTTTTGACAAGTATAAGAGTGAAACAGAATGAGGAATGGTAGAAAGGAATATGAAACTGAATATTACAGAGACTGAATACATCTGCGTAAGCCATTGACAACGATTTTGAGTCATGTCACCTATTGTCTCCAGCCATTGATTCTTAGAGTCCCGAGGGCCCCAACCCGGAAGTATGCATCTCCCTCCCTACCTGACTCAGTTTAACTGTCAAGGACTTCATGGATTGATGAGGCCATGTTTTTGTTTGGCCACCACTTACTCTTTTCCAACCTGCACCTATATCAGCTAGTAATGCCCGTCGGGGAAGGCGATGGTTAGGCATGCGGAGCGCGTGACCTAGCCATCTCAATCTATGTAACTTTATAGCCTCTTCGATTGATTTCCTCTCTTTGCCCAGCACTCTACGCCTAACGTCAACATTACTTACCTTATTAAATCACCTAACGCGAGAAAGAGATCGTAGACATCTATGATCAAAAACAGTCAACCTTTTCATGTCTTCAACTCGAATTGGCCATGTTTCAGAGCCATAGAGAAGGACGGAGCGAACTGCTGAGCAGTACACACGTCCCTTGGTTGATAGTCGGATGTCACGCCTACGCCAGAGATGGTGTAAGTTAGTGAAAGCAGCCCGAGCTTTTTTGATCCGTGCTGAGATTTTGTCACCAATCAGTCCGTTGGTGCTGATACAAATTCCTAAATAGGTGAAGTGGTCAACATGTTCTATCACTTCACTCCCTATCACTAAGCTAGGAGTTGACGTAGTCCAGTCCTCTAGCAGCATCTTACATTTTACAGGGGCGAATCGCATGCCAAACATACGAAGATTGCTGCTCAAGGTGTTCAGAAGACTCTGCATTTTGTCAGCATTCTCCCCTAACAGGACCCATGACACCAATTACTTACTATCCAGTGTCCAATCAAAGTATCCATTACAGTCCTACAGCAGAGTCAGCCGTAAGCCCAAATAACAATCGGAAACAAGAAAATATTGTTACAACCATTTCCTTTTCCATATTTGAAAATATAAAACTAGTCAAAGAAATTATTCTGAGTCGTCTTCATCGGAGTTGAGTAACAATTCTGTCCAGCTTCTTGTTAAACAACATCGTGATTTCGGTACCAGGGTATTTGCATTACACCCCCAGTTTGTAATTAGGGCGCACTTATCCCAATTATTTGTGCTCATCGATAATAATAATTTGCTTTATTACAAAACGGTACTAATGTTAGGGTGTGGAATTTTCTGCATTTGGTACAATATTGCATCTAATTTTATCGAATAACATTTAAAAAAATTATAAAGATAATATTACAGGATTTTTTAATAGCACTTCCTATTTGATATTTGCAGTGATAGTGAAGTTATATATGTGTACCAAAAAAATTAAATAATATTAATGTTAGTAGCTAAGATTATCAGTTAATGGAGATAGTATCAACCCATAGATTACAAATAGAGGAGATAAATAGGAGAGCCGATTATTTTGCTAACAACATAGTAATTCATACGTTTCCCGCTTAACATTGTCTCTATCGCATAGAACACGGGTCAAATATGCTATCGTTGAGTTCCTATACTTGATAGTATGAGCATATAATCTTTTGTGCTGGCTTCTAGTTCTACCAGATGAGATACAAGTAGAGAGTTGAGAGAAGAAGGGGGTTTGAGGGTCATACAATATAGTTTTAAACCATTTCTCTCAGGAATTTGAATGTCTATCAACTAATGTAGTGACAAGCTGGCTAAGTTACATATCACTTACCTTACTGGCAAACTTTAATACCCTCCTCAAAATGACACAGTCCTTTTTCAGTAGCCCGGGAAAGACTAAGGGGAAGCAGTAAAGTACAATAGGTAAAGATACACCAGTTAACAGATTGTAAGCTTCTTAATGTGGTAGCTTAGACAGAGCATTTTCTTGGAGATCGATAAAATATGGGATATGACTAAGTGTAAGGTCAGAGGTATTTCGTGTTAGACCTAGTTTCTATTACAGTCCCCTCTATGCTACAAGTATCGTGTGTACTAACTAGTGGTTGTAGATCATGTCTTTGTCTAAAGGAGAAGTCAGTAATCTGGCATTTTGAGGTATTTAACGTAAGACCATTTAGCATAAACCACTGACTGATGTCCGACAGAAAGCTATTAAATTTCCAACAGTCTGATAGCGACTTAGCAGGAAGCGAGACAGTCAGCGTATTTGACGTAGCTGATAACATTAGAAAAAGGTAAGTCATGTAAGACGAGGTAGAAAAAAGAAAGAAGATAGAACAGCGCCTTGAGGAACACCAGCTTCAGTAAGCAAGCAGGGCAAAGGAAGACTCACCCTTGTATACAGTAAACTGCATTCTATTTGAGAAATAAGAATGCAACCATTTAACAACCAAGTACTCAGGTACTGAGTCAAAAGTAGATGTATAGTAGAGGAAGGTACAACGCACATATTTGGCCCCTTTGTCTAAGGAAGAGACAATGTTATGATGTAAGACGGTGGCAGCATCTAAAGTACTTCTGCCGTGCGTATAAGGAAGCTGTTTAGGATCTAGGAATTCATTGTGTGCTTGTGATTTTTCCGTGTCTTAATATATGCATTCAGCAGAGTGTGAATCATCAGTGTACTGCTCAAATATTTTTTTTATCCCAACCTTTCATTGTTTCACTTTATTTTTATCAATCTCATCAGATCGAACGTGGTGAAGCGAAAATCCAACGAAGAGCTGCTGTCAAACGAGCACTTGATCTTAAGATGGCTCGTTATCGAGCACCATTCCACCAACTACGTATACAATATGGCACAAATAAAGGAAAGAATTATGTGGAAGAAGAAGATCGTTTCCTCATTTGCATGCTTCACAAACTTGGTTTCGATCGTGATAATGTCTATGATGATTTACGTCTTGCAGTCCGGTTGGCGCCGCAATTTCGATTCGATTGGTTTTTAAGATCTCGCACAGCAATGGTAAGCAGTATAAGAAAATATATATATTAACTTGTTCATTATGTATTTTCAAAGTGATCATGTATTGTACTTTTCGCCTGAATAATTGATTGCTATTTCAGCTTCTTTTGGTGAAATTAGGTAGTGACTTTTTGATTCTTTTGTGTTCGGAATGCAGAATAGGGCTTCAAGCTTAAGTCTTGAAGTTTCGGTAGCAGTTTTGTTTTTTTACGGTGTGTGATTGATAACCTCACGTCCTACTCAGTACGTTAGCCGGCATTCGAACCCAAGACTATGTGCATTGTTGACGAGCACTCTACCACTGAACCACCAACGGGATTTAATGATAGGTCCACAAATTTATATTTAAGATTGAGTAGTTATTATTACTATTATTATTATTTCCTTTGATTCCTAGAGGAACATAGGGCTTCAGCCACGCGTCTCCATTGCGTTCGGTTCTCTGCTAAAGTTTTCACCTGGCTCCAATTCTGTCCACATGCTTTCATCTCCTCTTCACATGACCTCTTCCAAGTCACCCTTGCACTGACGACCAACTCGCCGCTTCCATTTCGGGTTCCACTCAAGGGCTTGTCTAGTGATGTCACTTGATGGTTTCCTCAGAGTATGGCCAATCCATCTCCATTTCATCCTGCCTATTTGTTTCACAATCGGTTCCTGGTTGGTTCGCTCATTGCCAGAGATCTCTGTTGCTGATCTTTTCTGACCGGCCATCTGATCTTGAGTATTTAGCGAAGACAAGTGTTAATGAAGGCCTGTAGTTTGTTTGAGATGCTCTTTATGACGCGCAGTGCAAGTCTCTGATCCGTATAGTAAGTAGCACTGACTTCACATTGCAGTTTAAAATCCGGATCTTATTTTAGATGCTGAGTGCTGTTGACCTCCACACAGACTTGAGAGTAGTGAAAGCTTGTTTGCCTTGCTTTCCCGATCCTCGCATTGATATCCTCATCAGTTCCGCCTGACTGTAGTTGAAACGATGCTTCACAGGTAGGCAGGTAATGGAGGTTGTTTCCTTCAGGTTCCTCCCATTTGTGCTGATCGTTGTCTGTTGTTGTTGCTGTTGGTGTTGGCCAAGAATCTTCATCACTTCTGTTTTCTCTATGTTCACCTGACGTCCTATCTTCTCTGGATGCTTCTTCTGCCAACTTGTTGCTTTTCACTTGCATATCTTCTAGTTTGTGGGAAATCAGACATATATTATCGGCGAAGTCCAGATCCTCCAAGTTTTTTGTGTGGGTCCACTTTATGCCTGTTTCCTCGTTGCCTGCTGTCTTTCGCATTATCCAATCTACTGCAATCAGGAAAATCATTCCAAGTTCTGTTCAATGATGATCCGTAATGTGGGGATCTGATCAACACATGACTTGTTTCTCCTAAATCCAGCCGGCTTCGTAATACTGAGTAATACTCAACCAGGTCCTGAACAAGTGGACGACTGTCCAGTGTTTAGGTCACTTCAGTGTGGCTGGCCAACAAGCACTACTGGTTGATGTAAGAGGTTGGCAAATACTCATCTCAGTCAATCAGTGGTATATAGTTCTTCGTATTTATGTTTTCTTTCTTGATTATCTCTTTTGGAATCAAGCAGATCACATATTTTGATCTGGATTATATTGGCTTCCAGAGAAAATTTTTTGGCGTTCTCGGTCATATCATCATCTCGAACTGGGTATATTGTTAATTGGATTTAAGGTGTTACCCGTTCGCCCAAATAACTATCCAGAAATCGGACGGCCCTCTAAAGTTCTGCTGATGTGCTTGGTCCCAAACGAGCTAAACAACCATCGAGTGTATCGACCACTTGGATGTGATCTGACTAGCCAAGCGCTATGCTGGTCGATATGACTCGTATCCAACAATTCATGTAAATTAAACCAGTATAGTATACATAGTTCCACGCATGTGTGTTTATACAACTCTATCTTCTTCTTTAATGTATTTCAGGAATTACAGAGACGTTGTAGCACCCTGATCACCTTGATTGAACGAGAAATATGCGATCTAGAAGATCGAACAAAACAACGCGGTGGACCCGGTGGAAACAGTGTATCAGCTACTACTGCGTCGGCAAATTCAGGACTACCTACTGGTACTACTGCTACTGCTACGCCTGTAGCATCTGGACAAAAGCGAAAATCAACTGTACCCAGTGGGGCTGGGACAGATTCAATCCTTGAATCCGGTGCAAATGGAAAGAAGAAGAAAGTTGCTGCATAATAATAGTAGCAATAATAATAAGAAAAGAACACTAATAATAATCATAATAATAATAATTTGTATATCTCCTTTTTTGTATTGTGTTCATATCCTCCTCCTTCTCCTTCTCCTCCTCTCCTCTTTCGAGGCCTATTGCATTTGATCTTTGTATTTGTTTTTATCTTAACTTATCACGTACTGGTTGATGCTGCATTGTTTACAGAATAGAATATTGAGTATTCAAATTAAAGATTATTTGTAATAAAATGCTACTCTTGTTGTTGTAGTTGTTGTTGTTGAGATTTCTACGTGAATTGTACGTAATTCACTCAAATAGTGAAGGGAATAAAAATAAACTACTTACACGTGATTCTGAAAATGAAAACAAAACTTTGATAAAGCTATTAGCAGCAGCATTAAATAGCATTAAAACGTCAGTAAAAACAATATCGTTTTGTTTTTCATTCATTGGGGGAAATACAAGAAAACCTTTATTTTAATGAACAAAACACGTAGTTCAGCAGCGAAGAGTCTCTTTTCAGCGGCGAATTCATTTTCTTAGCTGTACAATCGCAAATATATGTGAGGGGTTATATATATATATATATATATATATATATCTTTCAAAGGTACAAAACTCAAAAAATAAGTGTACTGACCTGTTGTTGTAGGTTTCCTATACACACTCCTTCTTAGTGTGCCATTTTCTTTCCTTGCCATGAAGACGTCTAGGAATGAGATACTGTCATTACTTTCTTTCTCTATGGTAAAGTTTATTGCTGAATGTCCATCATCAAACTTGTCACGGATGTTCATTGCATCATTCTCGTCTTTCATAACCACAAATGTATCATCCATATACCGACAGTTGAAATCCATTTCATTAATTACTCCTCTCAGTGGTCCATTCTCTAATTTAGCGAGGAAAAAATCAGCTAGGATTAGACCAAAAGGGCAACCCCCCTATAGCTACACCATCAATTTGTCTGTAATATTCCTTATTGAATAAGAAATGAACATTCATTGTACATCTTAAAATAAGTTCCTTCAAGGTGGATACAGAAATCCCGATGTCTATGTTTCGTGTAGTAATCTCCTCACATATAAAATCCACTGTCTCCATTAACGGTACATTGGTGAACAAGGAGAATACATCAAAAGATATCCTCGAAAAATGTATTACCTAATGTAAGGTGTAGTCTAGAAGGGGTGACTAACTGGAAGTGAGAAAAGTGGTATAAATCGGCTTGACGTAACAAGTGTGAGAAAATGACTTATCAATATAATTGTGTAGAGTGGACAAGAACTCTTAAACGATAAAGTGTTTTATTTAAACGCAATGTTACTAATAAAGGGCAATAGAGTGGTAATAAAATATAGATGATGGGAATAATAGGACAAAATTTACCACTATCTGATTGTTCTAATGATTTCCTTGTTAAATATAATTACGAGTGTACAGCAGCTCGTGAAAAAGAATCGTCGAAAAGGAAATTTCCCTCGCTGTTTACGCCTTTTTCTTATGGCTCAAAACGGGAATATTTCGTTCACCATGCTAATTCTTGCTTTATTAACACTTCTAGGTAGGATTTCAAATGTCACTTTCTTAACTCAAATGGTAAAACTGTAGATGCCTTAAATTCTTCCTTGCATGGTGTTATCGTCAATAGTTCGAAAAAACCAATGTTCATAAAATTGCAGTTCGTCGGTGACAACATCAGCGAAACAATAACACAGCGCTTGAAGAATGCAGTTGAAATAGCTTATTATGCAGCAGAGGTAGGTTGTTTCTTCACAATCACCCCTATTCTATGTTCGAGAAATAAAGATAAACTACCTAAATTTGCCTCTTCTATGTGTATCTACCAGTTTGACTTCAACTGCGGAGCCACCTACATTGGGCGTATAATTAGGCAGTTTCATCGTCGTATTTATGAACATCAACCAACATGGTTAAGCAAGGGAGGACAAACAAGATCTATTCATAGCTCTATTTCAGCCCACCTTGTAGATAGTGAGCATAAGGTTGATGTTAATACTGCATTTAAAATTATTTATTGAATTCCTACTCATCTTAATTTGCTGTACGAGTTCGTCTTCTACAGACAGCTGAAGCAATCGGAATCCACCTTAAGAAGCCAAACCTGTGTGTTCAGAAGAAGTTTGTACAGTCACTTTTCTTGCCTTGGCCATCGTTACATGAATGTATAAACCGGACTACTTCGTCCCTCTCCCCCCAAACATTTAAATAATTGTCCAATTTATATAATTTTTTCTGACCATTTCATCTTTAATTACGTGTTATCCTTGTAAAATTAATTTATTCTAACCATTTCTACCTTTTAGATATGCATTGATTTTCTTCGTTTATTATCAACCCACTGCTTGACATGTTGACACTGACTAATTATTGTTAACAAGCATATCAGTGCCACTTGTTTGGTAAACTGTTGTGTATTTTAATAAAGATGCTATATATATTAGAGTAGAGCCAGAGATGAGGATCTAATTGAAAAGTGAATATTTCTTCGCTCAATCTTTCTGTTTTCTAAATGTCTAAATGGGGATTTTTTCTATATTGAAATATAATTGCGACTGTACAGCAGCAGCTTATGAAAATGAATCGTTGAAAAGAAAAATTTCCTTCTCTGTTTACGTCTTTTTCTTATAATTAGGATGGTATTTGAACTTATCAACTCACTCAGAGACAAGCTCTGTAAGCTAAATGACCCTACTGATCCAACTAGACGAAATAATATAATTTGCCGAATACCTTACAAGGACTGTGAGGTCAACTGCATAGGTCAGATTATCAGAACATAAGAATTCAGCGAATTTTCATAAAACTATATATACCACTGTCTGATTGAGATGAGTAGACATGTCAACCAGATCGAGGATATCTAAGACCAGACGGCAGTTTCGTTCGTCAGGAGTGAGCACAGTCTGAATCAGTTCAAACCACCTGATATCTGGATAGCTACTCAGGCGAACTGGTGGTACCGTAAATAAAATTGCAATGTACATGACATAACGCGACCACTTGCTATTGTCTTCGGTTGTATTTGTCCTCACGCCCAACTTGCTGTGCACGAATGGTCACGACTTCCCACTAGAACCCCAGGACAAATACTCGCCAGTGGCTTAATGGTCTGCGAGCTCGAACCCCGGTGGGTGTGTACCGATGAAGATCCCCAAACTGGAACGAAACAGCTGTACAGCACTACCAGGTTTCCCTGTGGTTCTGTAGCCTATGTCAGCTTATGACAAAATCTTGTAATCAATTTTCGGAAATTGCAATGTACGCAGTTCGACTGGAGAAATCTCCACCACAGTTTCCTTCGGTGACCAAATTATTTAGACAGCAGTCTATGATCTGCTTGATATAACAAATGGTAATCGAGAAAGCGAGCAAATTTGCCTGAGAATTCGGCTAGGTTTAGAATGATTAACCGCATGAAGACGAACAGTGTAGGGAAAAATTTAGCAATCTCTGTGCATGCATTAACGCACAACAGAGTGAGACAAAGCTACAGTTCTAGAAAGTGATATAGGTAGGTGGGGGGAGAGTTTGATTACTGAGTCATCGAATCTACACACTTAACACCGAGCAGTAGGAATAACACAGGAACACTACCAGAGATAGAGAAAATATTACTTCCAATCAAATCAAAGGATAAGAAATAATTGAATTACATTGAAAGTAATGTGAGTGCCTTAACGCAATTGTGAGCAATAAATTCAGCTTGGAATTTCATTCAGTAATTAATACGTGTAATTGTATCAAGTTAATTTACTCTATAGTGGAAGCTTTTTTTTAGTATATCCAGTATAAAAGTCTGATGGTCAATAAGCTGAGTGGTTGCGTAAAACACGGTCTCAGTAGCTGCATTATCCAATACTATTTAACGATTGTATTCTATAATATTCAAACAGTTGGATAGTGTAATTTTTGGTGCTAGCTGTCTTCCGTTTAGCTTTCTGAATGAATGCATTGAACTTCATGTTGTCACTTAAAGGGGAAATTTTATTGGCGAAGTTCAACAATAGCGTCCAAGGAGTGCGAACTCCCCAATGACCTTGAACGCATGCTAGCCGTTCGCTATTGGCACCTGTCATTATCATAGATGAAATATCAACGCCATTCACCAACTTAGCAGCAAATTTCACTCAGATCACGTTTTTAAGTACTGTTTCGACAATGTGTTAATAGCTCATTAGGGTTAAAGTAAGTATTGCGGTTAGGATTAGGATCAGGGTCATAATTAGCATTAGGGTTAGGATTAAGGGGATAGAGTTTATGTCAGTTATTTCTATTTGTTTTCTTATCCACATTTTCCTGGTCAGTAGTCGTCGATCCTCTTAGTGGAAACGATAGTAACTCAACCGAGGGCTCTTGGGGAAGACTGCACAACAGAATAAGAGAGATAAACAGTTCACAAAAACAGCGCTCATCTTTATTCACCTCGGTGAATACATGTACAGAAACTAGTCGCACTTAGAAACTGATAATCCTCATTAAAACTGGGACGTATTTTTAAGTCATGTCAGAGAAAGATGCCCTGTTTAATGTGTTTTCATGCATTTTCTTGTAAATATACGTCATTTATTGTGCGGAAGTCACTTATTATTATGATTGGTGGGCTGAAGGTCACTCGTGCGTTCGCATTCCTTGTGACGCTATTGTTGAACTTTGCCCTTTTATTTATTCATTTGTTATGCACAGAATCCTACAAATTGAGTTGTGAATATTGATTCTGCAGTCATGGATTATGACGGTCTAAGCTTAAACCAATTTGACGGAAGAAGCAGTGAAGACAGGAATTCAAGTGAACATAAAGAAAACAGAGGTGACAGAGATACGGGGTACTCAATATGGTGCCGATTATAATACTATGTATATTGTATATCCACGTTTCAGGGTGTGCCAACGCTGTATGCGACTAAATATCAAACAATGTTGTATCTAAAGGCATAAGTGAAAACTTAACAAGAATTATTGTTAACGAAGTCAAATTTCGAAGAACACAAGGCGAACGTGTGTGAAACTGTGTGACATATATGTATATTTGTTTCCTTTAGTTCCTAGAGAAACATATGGCTTCAGACGCGCGTCTACATTGCGTTCTGTGCTCTGCCAACATTTTCACCTGTCTCCATATCTGACCACATGCTTTCATCTCCTCTTCACATGACCTCCTCCATGCCACCGCTGCACTGACGACCAACTCGCTGCTTTCCGTTCGGGTTCCACTCGAGGGATGGCCTGGCTTGGGATGTCACTCACTTGACGGTTTGTTTTCTCAGAGTATGGCTAATCCACCTCGATTTATTCCTGCATATTTGTTGCACAGTCGGTTGCTGTTGGGTTGGTTTGCTCATTGCCAGAGATTCCTGTTGCTG